CTCTGCCCTTCGAGCCTTTGTATTTGAAGGAAAACAAACAGAGGAAAGGGAAAGTTTTAGGGGAAGTGCGGCGCCGGCACAGTCCTGCGGGACCCTGGGAAGGCTCCCGACTACCTTGGGCTCCGTGGCCACTTTCAGCGCGCCGGTTCGTTTTGATTGTGTGTGTGTGTGTGTGTGTGTGTGTGTGTGCGCGCGCGCACGAGAAAAAAATAATAAAATTTTGTATGTCACTCCCCATGGCTCCAGGTTTGTCTCTGCCTGTCTCTGGGACCGGCCTCTCCTTGCACCGGTCGATCCCCAGTACCCCTTTCAATGATCCTCTCAACCCCACTCCCCCGCACCCGGACCCCAGCCAAATTCTCGGCCTCGCGAGACCCCCTCCGCGACAGGGGACCGCCCCGCCCCGCCGGCCCTCTCGGCGGAGAGCTCTGCTTTCCTCGACTGCAGCGCCCGCTGCGCGTCTACCCCAGGCCAAGTCTGCGATGCTCCCAGATCTAGGGTGCAGGCTCCTCACGTGGCCCCTACTCGGAAACCGCGAGGTGCAAAGGGGCTGAGGAGGCCGCAGACACCTGCCTCAAGTTTCCCGAGCTGTTTACTTCTAGACCCGAAAGTGCGGCCCAGCGGGGACACCGGATCCGGTTCAGGGGCGGGTAACCTGCTGAGTCTGGGCGAGTGGGGTGGTGGCTTCCCGGATTGACTGGATACCTGTGTGCCTGCCCGGGGGTGGGGTGGGGTGGGGGCTGTCTTTTTGGACACCCTTGTTGCGCCCGGTGACAGAAGGATCTGTGTGTCTGTCCTTGTGTCTCCGTTCCTGCTTGGGGAAAGGATGTCAAGGTTCCCAGGACGACGCTGCTGCTGCAGAGATTCTCACAACTGCCCGACCCTCCTCTCTACAGCCTCCAGCTGTAGCCCTCCTTGGCTCTTAACAACAGGAGCCCCAGCTTCCTCCTGCACACCAGCCTGGGAGACTCCCTTCTCCAGCTCAGGAAGGCTTCCCGGCTTAGGCGCCACTGAGCCTCCTCTCACCTGAAAGGCTCTAGATGCCCTGTTTTCAAGAGCGCGGTACCCTTAAGGGCCGGGGCAGCTCAGGAGTCACCTTTCCCCTTGGCTGGGGCAGTGTCTCTGACACCTTGCCACCAGGTGCCAGAGACCTTTCCCCAAGCCAGTTTGCCCAGCCTTGCCCATCTTGTGTCACCTTAGGAATAGGCAGGAACCCCAATAAATCAGCAAGTCCCCACCTTCTTCCCTCTTCTGTTCTCCAATCCCAGCAAATGGCAGTCCTACCTTGCACCTTGCCTGGTGTTGCCCCTCTTCGCCACTGGTCTCCTCAGAGAGTAGTCTTCAAGCTATCTCAGTCATATAGTCCATCTGCAAAAGGGTTATGAACTTTGTATGTATTTACTTATTTTTATATTCCATACATGTGCTATTTGACTGGCGTTATGAATCTTATACAATAGAAAGAGGATGAAATTGGAATGCACAGGGCCCAGGATTTAGCTCACTGGTGTTGCCGCCTGCTTCACAAGTGAAAGGTCCCGAGTTCGATCCCCGGTGCCGAAAAGAAGAAAAAAAATATATATAGATATATATATATTGGAATGCACAGAAATTAGAACTTCTGTTTAATGTTTTCCTCTCACACACAAATGGCTTGTATTGTGCCCCTGGAACATGCGAAGCTCACTTTGAAATCCTCAGAAGTCGCGAAAACCAAGACTGGCAGAACTGACTACTGTTTGCTATCCAGCAAGGAAGTTTCTGTAAATTTCCTGGACGCTGGGCTGGGCCAGGGCAGTTCCCTGAGCACTGCCCTCATTATATGTAGCAGGCACTTGGCCCCCAGCACCTGAGTTTGCCTCCAAGCCCCACCCCCAGGCAGTCTTGCCCTGCCCAGTCCATCAAACTGGGAGCTAGGCCACTGATGTGGGTCCCCAGAACCTCTTGTCTTTCATTCTATTTCTAGTCTCCCTCCTACTGAAGTAGACTGCAAGGGCTGCACTGGTTCTAGTGGTCACACCATTCAGAATCCATGCTATGACCTTCCTAGGATGCTTATCTCATCTGGAATCAGCCCGAGGGCCTGATACATGCCAACTGCCTCCTCTGGCCACAGCCTCTTCACCCACCCCAACAACACGAGGACTTGTTCTCCAGCTTCTGCTCACTTTGCACAGAATCTGTCTGGACTCTGTCAGTCCCATTCTGACCTCACAGAATTGCTGGCTGAGGTACAGGAAACATAGAAGATCAGAATACACGTCCCAGGCCGAGGGACCGAAGGCAGAAAGGTGTAGAAATAGACCGGATCAAACATTGGTAGAGAAGCAGGTGTCTGGGGAAGGGTGGAGATGCGAGGTGGGACGCAGCAGGAGACCAGGTCACTGGTGGTCAGAGGTGTGTCGTGGGGCCGTCAGGATGGCCTCAGACCCACATCTCCACAGTCACTTCCTGCTCATGTAGACCAGTTTGTACCAGTGCCCACATTACCGGTTCAGAAGTGGACAGATCCACGATGCACCCATCCACCCTTCTCTCTCAAGACACAGAACTAGGGGGTGTGGAGACGATGAGGCCATTCCCATTCCCCAGGTGCCCTCATATCCCACCAGACCCTCAAGCCCCACACCCACATCTTCCGTGACTCCTTGTCTTGTGCTCCCACGTTGGATCCAACAGCAAAACAGGCAGTTCCACCTTTCAGTCAGATCCAAAGTGTGGCTGCTTCCAACTCACTGCACTGTGTGATCCCTTTCCAGGCCACTGTGATCCTTTGCCTGGACTTGCAAAACAAAATTATGATCGGTCTTCTGTTTCCATCCTTTGTCTCCTTCCAGAAGCCAAAATGTATAGCTGATCACTTTTCTGCTGTACTCAGAACTCTCAGGAAGTTCCTTGTTTCCCTCAAAGTCAAGGCCAAAACCCTGAGACTGTGCTACCAAATTCACCTGCACACCCGGCTCCATGACCACTCCTGCTCCCCGTTACCTCCCTCCGTCTGTTCTCAGCCTACTGGCCTGTGGGCTGTGCGGGAGTCATACCAAGCAGGTCCCTGCTGAGAACCTGGACCAGAAGTGCCCTTCGCCTAGCAGATCTTCCCCCGGGCATCTCCAGGCCTGGCTCCCTCCTTTCCTTAAGGTCTCCACTCCATTGTTCCTTAGCAAAGAGGCCTTCCCTGACTGCCTTAAATATAATAGCCCACACACCCCCTGCTGTCTAAGCCCTTCCTGTGCTATTCACAGGTGACAGGTATAATCTGTCCTCTCATCCTGTCCTCCCCTTACAGTCGGAGCTGCATGAGGGCCGATTTTTGCTGCCCCCCCCATGCCCAGGACAGTGCTCAGCACACATTCCGTGGGCACATAAGCAGATGCAGTGATGAAGAAGCAAGCAGAGGCTTGAGGCAGGGAGAGGCACACAGAACAGAGGTGAGAGACGGTGAGAGCCCTGGGTCCTGTGAAGAGGAAGTAGCTGAGTTGCTATGGGGAGGTTCTGGAAGGAGATGCTGTTCTGCTCCCCCTGTGGCCCTATGTTTGAAATTTGTAAACACTGTGCTCCTGAAATAACTCCTACCAACACCCGGAGACGGTTCCTTCTTAGCCAAACCATCACCATGGTCCCTCCTCCTTCCACGGGGACATCCTGTGTAGATCTTGTGGGACTGTCAATCCTGACCACACACTCCCAACTAGCCAATGAGGACCCCATGTCTCTGGCTACAGTGCATGGACCCTAGAAATAATGGGATGCTATTGGGTGCTAGAAGAGTGAGAGTCTCTTCTTTGGGGCTGTGAACCAGAATGACAAGGGCTTAGGGCCCCCAAGAATACCTCACCTTGAGGAAGTGTCAGCCTGCAAGGGAAATCACACTCTCAGCATGAGCAGAGACCAGTAGAGCTGAGAGTAAACAAGAAGTGAGCTTGGGGTATCTTTGGAGCCTCTTGGGCCAGCCAGATCTTAAGATCTATCTTCGGATTTTCCAGGATCAGAAGCCAATACGCCCTCTCCTTTTTGATTTAAGCAAATATTTTGGGTGTCCGACTCTCACAACCAGAAAAGTTCTGATCTAAGCAGTTTTGAGAGCCTGAATGTCCTCTTAAGGGCTTTGGTGATTTGTTTTATTTTGTCTATAAGCAGTGAGAACTACGTAAAGTTTTTGAGCAAAAGAGAACAGCTTAATGGTCTGTATTGGGGGGGCATTTGTTTGTTTTTGTTTTTCTTGGTACCAGGGATCGAACTCAGGACCTTGCACTTGCAAGGCAGGTGCAGTGCCACTGAGCCACATCCCCAGGCCTGGTCTGCATTTTTGGAAGTGCACTCTGCCATAATATAAGGTAAGGGGCACAAGGAGGGACAGTGGGGCAGAGACGACCATGTGAGGCCGTAACCATGGACCCCCATGATACAACGGAGGCCCACAAATGGCCAGATTGGCTCTGGATGGAAACACACATGAAAACAGACAGGGTTCTATTTTAAAATAAAAAAATAAAAAATAATGTGTAGAGTAGGGCCAGGGATGTAGCTCAGTGGTACTGTACCTGCCTGGCAAGCGTAAGGTCCTGAGTTCAATCCCTGGTACTGCCCCCAAAAGAGTGTAGTGTAGAGGACACATTGTGCAAGAAAAAGAAATTAAGAATTTCTTCATATTTGCATGTGTATAATGAACAGAAAGATAAACAGCAGCCTAATAAAAAGTTATCTTGGAGCAGGGAGCAGCGTGAGTGGGAACAAGACAAGAGGGAGATTGATGTGGATGTGTTTTTAAAAAGAATATAACTGACTTTATCGAAAAATGAATTTAACTTTAAAAAGTAAAGAGAAAGCCAGGCTGTGGACACACAGAAGCATACTGGTTTTAAAAATAAACCACATTTGGTGTTTTGTCGCAGTTCAAAGAAAGGCCGCTGGCTTTGTGGCATGGCAGGCACCTGGTGACCCCCAAGCTGTGGTTCTGAGGGTGCAGGAAGAGCTGCTGAGGCAAGGGATGGCTACCAGCAGCAGGCTGCAGAGGGAGGGACAGGAGGGCAGTCAGTACGCCCAGATGGCGGCCCTTCACGCTGAGGACAAGCCCAGGACTGAGGCAGAGGTGAGATGGCCAGGAGGAAGAGAGGCTGTTGGAGGTGGACATGAGGGTCTTGTGAAAGAACAAGGTGGAGGTGTAGGGCGGAGCGGTGGGAAAGAACAGAGTCCTACTAGGGCAAGGTTACAAGCGGAGGGCACCGGGGTTACACTGGGGAGACCACAGGAGACACAGCTGCTGTCTGCCAGGGCAGGGTGGGTTCTGTCTTGGGGAAGAGACACTTTGGGGACGGTCTTTCAGGAAGTCAGAAGGAAGTGTGTGAGAGCGGAAGAAAGGTGTTATGGGCAGCAGCAGGGAGCGTAGACTCGGGGTCACTTGCCCTGCCTTCATCCTTCAGGGCACGGCGGCCAGGTTGCCCAAGATTACACCCCCGTCCCCTCCCGCACCCAACTCACAACCCCCTCCTGCACACAACCTCCCTCACTGACCAAACCCCAGCAGGACCCTGCCTGCTCTCACGGTCTGACCACTGTGCCATTCCCGCAGCCCAGGGCCCAGGCACAAACTTCACAGCCTAGCAGCAACAGAAGGGATTCCCAGTCTCCTCCTGCAAACTCAAAGCAGAGCAAAAAGTGTGGGGGTGTGGTTGCCACTCCAAGCCAAGGACAGAAGGACCCAGAAGTTGGCTCACAAGATCACTGCGACCTCAAGAAGCCCCTCCCTCCCTCTGCCACAGCTGTATGGAAGTAGTGGCCTCTAGGGCCCTTCCCACTAGACATTCCAGACTTCCATGGATGCATATGGCAGGTGCTCAGTCCATCTCTGTGGCCAGGAGAAGTTCAGGAAGGTTCTGTGTCAGTGGAATGGGTGCCTGCATTGAAGGAGAGATTAGGGGGCGCTTTTTAAGCTAGAGAAGGGAGCGCATGGATTTATTGATTTGTTGCCCCTTTCCCATCTGGGAGTTGGTGCTGCATTTTTCTCCCTCTCTTCCTAGGGTCAGCCTGGGGAACTTGGGGTAGGGGACACTGAGGCAGATGATGGTGGCCTGAGGGGACCTTTGAGGACTCAGGATGGGGAACAAGGGGAGGGAGACAAAGGAAGCAGCCATTTGGGGCCAACTCCATTTCCAGCCCAGAGCCTACACCCCCGCCTGCCCAAACCGCTCCGATACCCTAATTAGCCAGTCCCCTAGGCCCCTGTTAGCCAGGCCGGCTGAGCGCCCAACTCCCTGGGGACACGTCCCCTCCACCCCAGAACCCCAGACTAATCAGTCCTTAGATCCTTGAGAGTTTCAGTGTACTACACACCACACACACACATATGCACACCCTTATATTCCCCAGAT